TAGCATACAGGCTTTCATAGATATGTATATAATGTTTTTTTGTTTTTTGCTTCAGCTCATAGTCTAGTAGCTAGTAAAGTATGCATAGTGGCGCCGAAATTTATACTAAAACCAAAATTTTATATAATTTTAATATGTTTTTGCCAACTGCTGCTATAAATGCACTATAATTCGTTAAACATTTATTTCTTAAACTGAAAAAGCGAGTGTTGCATAATAAGAGCACCATGTGCAGCGCAGCTTAAGATCTGTTTATAATTTGCACGCTTAATTAGCGGCAATCAGAAAATAAGTTTTCATTACCAGCCTTTAATAACAGCCTTTTATTCACAGCATAGCACATGGCGTCGTACGCTGCGTATACGCAACTTACAATGCGCGACATTTGCTCTGCGCAGCGTTCAATGCCAATGTGAATGTATTTAATTGGGAAACACATATATACGCATGCATGCGCATTAACTTTAATGTCGTTTTGCCAACAGCAGTTCCATTGCTGAGCCTTAAAGTCTTCGCTGCTTCATTTGCTTTCGATTTGTTTCGTGTAGCGTTTATACATTATTCCTTACGCACAACGTCAGTTGTTATTGTTTTCTGAGATTTTCTGCTTGTTTGTTAATTGCCGCACAGGTTTCATATACGATGTATATATATATACATATATATATTTTATGTTCACATATGCTAGCTGCTATGTTTTCACAGCAACAATTTTGATTGCTAATTGCGCGATATTATTGTTTTCGACATACATATGTATGTGTACATTTGTAAAAAATACACATATGTATACTCAGCACAATATAAATTATTGTTTTATTTTTTTTTTTTCCTCAATGTCTACAGCGTCAATTGTTGGCTGTAAGCGCATAAAAGCTTTCGATTCGAATCGCATAATGGCTTTGGCGTCATTGATTTTTTATTAATAACTGCTCTGAATGCTTAGAAATTTATTATACAGCAGTTTTTTGTGGTAGTCATAATATTTATTTGTATCGGCTGCTAGTCATTTAGGGTGAAGGGAATCAATAAATTTGTATTAAGTGCATTACAAGGCAGCTAATTGGCATAAATAAATATACTTTGTCGATTTAATGTAGTTTCAAAGATGGTTTATTCATGATGGCATGAGCTTTTATTGATTTATTACCAATTTTTTGTTTATATCCTAAGCATTTATTGTACAAATTGATTTATTTTTAGCGTTTGAAATTACGAACGGCATAAATGCTTTTGAAGTAGCTACTAATTTTAGTTAAATGAAAGCAAAAATTATACAATCGCCAAAAAAGATATTAAACAAGAAAAAAACGTTAACTTCGGCTGCAACGAAGTTGTTATCCACTTCGTAGGTGTATTTCTTATAGCATAAAAAGGTATATAAAGATACTTATCTTGATTTTGATCGGTCAGTTTGTATGGCAGCTATATCGAATAGTGGACCAATCTGAACAATATGTTCGGATATTGTAGCATTTTCTTGTGTGAAGGACCTTTTTTACCTAACCTCACTTTTATTAAAAATTTAATAAAATATTAACTGTACTTGCAGTAAAATTTCAAAAAAGACATACATTTACAGTTCAACTCGTAGTTACGCACACATTATGTGCTCAAGAAAGTAATTAAAATATTTCAAATTTGAAGCATGTCTTCACCGAATAACTTCACAAATAATGTTACTCATACGCAGTGTTGTGTCTTAATAATGCGCTCACCACAAATGTGCACAAATTATGTTAGTTGCAATAAAATTTTATAGTTTTACTGCATCAAATAGCACTAATAGTCAAATATGAGTAAAAGTTTTGCGATGCATCCGAAAAACTTGTAATTCATGCAATTTTAATGATATACGAGTAAAGCACTCCGAAACTGCCAAATAAATGTAATATATGAAATTAAAAACGCAATGACTTGGCGCTGTAGTTCACGAGCAGCGGAGATGGCAGTTGAAGTGCTTGTAGAAAATGTATGAGAGGGCGGGCACACGCGTACGCGCCGACATATAGCAAATAAACGTATAATTCACACGCAATTTTAATGGAATTTTTCAAAGCCACCACAGCATGCACTTGAATCACATGTACCACCGGCATCTTTGTTTATATGTGTGTGTGTGTGCGTTTACGCACGTGTGGCTTTGATTTACAAGTTACGCTTAGCCGTCCGCGTGTGCGCATGTAAATGACTGCAGGTGAGCCATGTCGTATGATGAACATTTATTTGCTTAAGGCACTCGCGCTGCGCATACATTTGATATTTACATATGCACACATAAATATTTATACTTGTGTGTGGAGCATGTATTATGTGCAAATATTTGCGCATGAATTTTAATAAAATCGCAACAGCTGTAAACCGCCAAATGCATGTCGGCGCAATTAAAGCGAAACTGGGCACTCAGCAATATCAAATTTAAATTTATGCGCAATTTTTTTACTTTTTTATTTTAATTTAATTTTTTATTTTTTTTGCGTTTTTTTCTACACAAATTGTTTTGTATTTTTTTTTATGCAAATTTGCTGAATTTATTTTTTTTGCATACATTTTTCTATACTTTCCTTGCAACCAGGCGCAATGTTAGCGGAAACGAATACGCGTGAGTGCGCTTTTTGTCTTTGTTGTTGTCGGTCTAGCGCGTGGCAAAACTTTTGTTCGTGCTTGATTGTGCTCGTTTGAGGGGTGCAAAATTACAATGAATCTTTTCAATGGCATTCGTATTGAAAGAGTGTTTTTATTTCGGCTCTTGATAAAATTCGTTTCAGTACAGAAAGGATGTGAAGCAATTTTGTGCTAGAATCGAGTAATTTTTCTAGCGTTTAATGAAATTTCAGTGATATTCCTTTTTTATTAATAAAGTTCCGAAATTAAATTTTTTTTATATTTATAATTACAAAGTTTTTAGTTTCAAATTTTTTAAATTAATTTTATTAATTAAATATTTTTATTAATAAATTAATAAAAAAATTATAAACAGTAAGTAAGTTATAGCATAAATAAATATTTAATTTTAATAAATTACACTAATTTTTTTATTAATTAATTAAGTTTTTAAAATTAATTTTATAGTGATTTTTATTAACTAATTTTAAAATTAAAAAAAAATTAAAAATTAACTTAATTAAAATTTTCTTAATTTAAAAAATTTACTATTTAAATTCAAATAATTTAATTATGTAATAATTGTTAAATAATATAATTATTTTATATATATAGGTATATATATTATTTGTTTTAATAAAAATTGTTGAGCAAAACAAATTTCATAAAAATGCTTAAAGAAATTATATTTTTCACTGGACAGTTAAAAAAATATATTTATGCAATAATATAAAAAGTTATCAATTTTTGTTCGAAAAAAATTTTTTTTTCAATATGTATAATTACATAGCAGGAATTTCAATAGGTATAGTTCCAAAGTTTTTAAACGAATTATGTTAATTAAAAAGTACATACCAATTCTAAATAATAATAAAGACATTTAAAAATTATCGCATAATACAAATAAATTATTTTAATTAATATTATTAATTTTATTAATTAATTATTTTTTATTGTTTTTATAGTTCTTTTTATTCATTATTTTAACAAATAATAATTATTTAAATTAAAGTAATTTAATTACGTAATAATTGCTAAATAATTTAATTTTTTGTTTTATAAATTTATATTATTAATTTTAACAAAATTTGTTGGGGAAAAAAAAGTTATAAAACTGCATATAGAAATTGCACTTTTTGCTGCAGTGACAGTCAAAAATATGGTATATACATTTTTTTTTTTAAAATTTAATATTTTTTAAAATTTTTTTTCTAAAATCGAATTCGATCTAATAAAAACTAAATATGGTAAAAAACTGTAGTTCTTCACAATAATTAACTAAAGAAAGGCTACAATATCTTTAAACATTTTTATTTAATTTTTTTTAATAATATTATAAATATTATCAAATGTATTGATATACAGTATTATTTCAACATGAAAGTATTAGAATTAAAATATTAAAAAAAGGAAAGAAAAAGCTTCATACATTTTCAGTTTAGTGACTTTTTGATAAATTTATTATTTCAAATAATGAGTTAAAAAATATGATATCAATTTCAGATTTTCTAATTTTTTTCATAATAATTTTTTTCAATAAAATTTCTTACTTGAAAAAAAATATAAATAATGCTTTTTATCCTTTTGTATTGATTTTTTAAACCCACATGAAAATACTAAAATTAAAATATTTTTTAAATTGAAGCGCCCTCTACATCAATTATTTGAGATTGAAAGCGCTAAAGGCAATTGAAAAATATAACAAATAACAATTTTCCAGTCAAAGGCTATCTGAAAATCTTTAAAGGTATGCAGGCTAATATAAAAGTTGACCCTCGGCGCTATTTAGAAGGCTAAACGAAACGAAACAGCAACCCTTACAGCACGTCCATAACCCAAGCAATCAATGCCGTTTCAAAAACGAATTGCCTTTATTACTGTTGTCGCTGATTTCATTTTACACAAAGATAAAAAATAAAAAATAAAAATGAAAATAAATAAAAATTCTTCGAAAGTGAAAAAAAAAATGAAAAATGAAAAGGAAATTAGTTTGTAGGATTTGTGCATCATTTTTCAATTCAACTTTCAAATCCCAACATTCTTTACTGCTCGCGCTTTCATGTCAAATTCACTGGCATAACCGGAGCTTGTTTATCCTACAACTGTTGTTCGCTGTAGTTATTGTTGTACAGAAAACAATTTTTTCTACCAACAAGCGTGCTTTTTACCACCTCGTTGTGTTTAACTCCACAATATCACAGCAACGGTGTTTTATCTGCGCCAGTTTGTGTCCTCTCGCTCTTCTTCGTTCCACTCAAATACTTCTGCTCTCATTTTCCTTTTGCGCCCAAGCATTCATTCAGTCATTCATTCACTCATAGCTTTACTTTTTCATTCGAGTGGCCCATTTCATTTACTGCATAAAATATTTTCTCTTTTTTTTTTGCGTTTTTTAGCTCCAACAACCACACCTGATTCAGGCTGTGTCCATTGATGCTGACGGTCCTGCTGCTCCACCCTACGACCTGGACGCGTTAATAAATCAGCTTGTGTATCCAAATCCGGTATATCAATTGCATGTAAGTACGCATATCCTCGGTACAACTGTTTGTTACATAAAAAGGCAAAAAGGTGTACGGGTTGCTTTGCTTCAAAAATTTCCTTTTATTATTTTTCATTTTTTTTTTCAATATTTCCTAACTTTATTATTGAGAAATCAACGTAAAAGGAAATTTTTCCGTCGTGAAGGGGCAGAGTAAAGCGGTTAGAGGAGGTTCAAGCAGGTGTATTTGATTTCGAAATTGAACATGATTCGTTCCGTCATTTTCCTTTCCATCCTTTGCTCGGTGTTAAGTATAAAGCTTAAAAGGGATTAGGAAGATATTACAAAGAGAGGTGTGGAGGATATTATAAAACTAAATTAAATTTGCATTTTTAGCAGAGAGAAAGAGTTGAATTTGTTCACATTTGATGCCATAAATAGAGAGAAAATTATAATACAAACTTAACAAAGCGGAAATGGGAGGACAGAAGGATGGCTAAGAAATTGCTTTGAAATTTACTCTACTTTTTAATCATAAGCAAAGATTGTTAAATGATCTATGGTTGGTCCGAATTTTAAAATATATTGTATATGCTCAGTGTAAGTCTAAATAATTATAGAACTATTAGTAGCCAAAAAATGAGGTAATGAATCTGAGATAAATAAATGTTTCATACCTTGTTAAGATTACTATCCTCCATCATTGTCGAAACTTTGCAAGGCTGAGAATGAAACATCTCGGTCGTCTTACTTATGGTAAACCAACTGACATTAGCCGCCTCAACAAATTTGTGATAGGATCAAAGCGCTTTGTCGGTTTGAAAGGGTATTATGATTTACTGATTTATTAAGTAACACAATGTATCGGCGTTCTAAGCTGTCCAAGTGAGATCACTGGAAAGGTCGACCCTTAACCTAACTTAACCCAACCTAGGGTTATAATATCAAGTTCAATGTTTAAAAATTCGATCCATAGGAAGGAAAAAAATTCATATACGTGTTTTTACTCAATAATAGCCAAAAAAGTGGCCTTCCATATAATATCATTAAATACATATTTAAGTAGCTCTAAATTGCCTCTAATCAAATCAGAGTCAAAATTAATATCGCCAAAGCCGACGGAACTGTCTCTAAGGCAAACTGGGTCTCAATTAATCAAAATTCTCTTCTAATCCAAATCTGTCATCTCTGGGTATAATTGAGCGCGATCAAATGAATATCCTTTAGATTAATATTAGATTATACGAGACTACAACTCCGAGAGTTATCTGAGTATGTTCCAGCAAATCTTACAAATCCAAGTTATGGTCAATCCGAACAATATCAGAGATCCCTAAACGTTTCACCAGCTCAGGTGTATTTATATAATAATACCAAGTCAGCCTGAAACCCAGTTTGAAGGATTTTCGATAAAGTAAAGCGAGTCCGACCCTGATTCATATCAATAGTTCCCAACATGAAATAAAACTAGACCTTTCAGAGCCTTCAGTATTGTATAAATTCCTATACGCCACTCTCTCTCTCTCTTTCCCCGCAGGCCTCCGCGCTACGCAGTCAATTGCGCAACTTGCTACGCGAACGTCAGCTGGCCGCCGACTCTGCCGCTCCCAACGAGTATGAGCAGGTTTACAACGCTGCAGCGCCAGACTATGACTATATCGACGAGGACAAACGTTCCGTGGCCGCCTTGGCCGCACAGGGCATGTTACATCCCAAACGCAGTTTGGCAACACTCGCCAAGAACGGACAATTGCCGTCGCTGCCCGATCCCGATGACGCCGAACCGACGACACAAAACGAAGACAAGCGTTATGTTGGCGCACTGGCGCGCGGCGGCGGTTTCGCCACCTACGGCAAACGCAACATCGGCACACTCGCACGTGACTTTCAGCTGCCACAAAATGGCAAACGCAATCTGGCAACATTGGCGCGCTTGGGACTACTCACCAAAGGTGACGGCAGCAAGCGCAATTTGGCCGCTGTGGCACGTTACAATTCGCACGGACGCCAGGCCACGCTCGCACCGGCCGAGAAGCGTAACATCGGCGCATTGAAGGCATCACCCGTGCATGGCATACAACACAAGCGCGATGAGGATGAGGTCTACTTGCCGGCCAGTTTCTTCGGCAGCGACATGGACTATGCTGAGTTTATGCCCAACTATTGGCTGTATCCCAGCTATGCCGATTTGGACTGGGGTGACTTTGGACGCGCACAGAAACGCTTTTTAGGTGAGTGAATTATACGGTTGGCATAACTTGTATGTTTGTATATACATATATAGGAAGTAAGCGCGGATAAAGCGAAGTGTGACTGTAAATAAGCTGCGCTGAAAGCCAGCGCATATGTATATATATTATATTATATAATAACTGCTATATTTAAGAATATATAAGCACTTATATAAACATATATAAAATAACACATACACAACTATTTATATAGCATAAGCTAATAAGCGCATAAACTGTAATATATAAATATATATATATTGTATATTATGTACCATAACCACTATGCATCAACATTTAAAGATACCTCCAGGAATCCCGAACTTTTTGGCATCGAAAACGCTGCACCACGCGCCGCTTCTGACTATATGCCGCTTATTGGTGGCCTGGATCCCGGTGAAGAGGCTGCGCTGTCGCAAGAGGACACGCTAGATGTGGCTGCCGAACCGCCGAAGGAAGCACCTTATGGGCCGCCACAACAAAAACGGCACATTGGCGCCGTCTACCGCTCGGGCTTCTTACCCACCTATCGTTCGTTGCGCAGCATCACCGGCAGCTTAGGCGGCAGCATCGGCGGCGGTGGCGGCCGTTTTAGTCGCTCTGGACGTGCCAGGCAATTTGTATGAGTAAATTGCGGTGAATTTGTGTGTTAATTGCTGATGAACCTACATGCATACCTACTGTACCTACTACTACACATACATCTATATATATACATGTATATATATATATATACAAATTTCATTGTAACTCGTAATAGCAAGTGATTCGTTTTGAATTGTGTCCTCGTATAACAGTTAACGTGTAGCTGCACTGATGCACTGCTCCAAAACGATGAACGCATTGTGTTCGCCTGTGTCCTGTCTCTAGAAAAGCATCGTGTAATTTGAAAATTTTTCTCCTTTGTTTTTTTAATATGAAATTTGTTGTGTGTTTAAAGTTTTTTATTTCAAATATAAATTTTTTTTCAATTTATTTGGAAAGTTGTTTGTGCTATTTGCATACCACATAGTAAATTCTGTCACTTTTCTTCATATTCTTCTTCTTCTTCTTCTTAGTACGTAGTAGTATGTAGCGCATTTCAGAGTAACATAACCTCAAAAATAATATGTATTCCACAATTATATGTGTATGTGTGTTCGAGCTCATAGCTTAGTTTGTGCACGTCTTCTTGTTGGTACGGTTTGATTGGCATGTCTTTCCAATAATTTAAGACATTTATACACTTTTGTCGCCTTAGTTGACTTAACGGCATTCTTCTTATGCGCTTCCGAGTCAAGTATGTGGCAATAAATGTCATTGATTTACTAAAAAATGTTTGAAAACTATTTCTGGCTGCGCTTTGCTTGGAGCTAGTCAACTGTAGTTAGTTGTAAAGTGACTGTGAGCTTTGTGAAATTGTGCGAAAGAATGTAGAGAAGCATTCATGAGCACATTGCAACATATATTTGTACTTGTTTCAAATGCTAAGCGCCTAAAGGTAGGATACAACTAGTTTAAATCGGGCACAAACTTTCAAAATGTTATTATATATAACTGGCAGGAATCAAGAAGAAAATTTGCACGAAATTCCCGCCAAATAGCCATAGACAAGATAGAACCAAGGGAAAACCCCTTTAAAGCGAGGCTTATATCTTTTATCAGCCATTATTTGAAGAACCGAGTCAGAATCATACATTGGGTCATTACAAATTCCATGCTATCTATGTTGCTATCCCTTATAATGGTTATAACTCAGCAGCTGATCATGTTTCTAAGTCTATATATTTCCACAAACCGAAAAATATTCGCCAGAAGTATTTGAAAATATATTTAATAAAGTAACAACCTACGTAAACGTTTGCGATAGACTTTTTCAAAGATATTTGAGTTATCCGAATAAAATATTAGATATACTAGATATATAGCTTCTTTTTTTTCACGAACTATCGATAACACCAACATATTTTCCGTTTCCTGTCTCATCCTTTCATATGTAGAGCATTGTTAACGACAGTTCAATCAGGTGCTCAAAAAGGCAAATTTGTAAGTGTTTAAACTCAAATACTGACAAAATTTTTTGAAAATATATCAAACGCGTCGAAGCATGCATTCGATTTGCACAATTTCTTGGACCTATTTCGACATCACTACAGTATTTGGTTATAACATACAGCCCGTTAGGTCTGCTGCCACTAAAATTCCGTCCGTGCATCTAATATCAATACTATGATGAAGAATCTTGACTTTTAAAATTGTGTAGTATAGACTAATACCACACTGTGAACTTCGAGCAACGATTTCTCACAACGGGTTCTTCTTCTGTACCTAAATTTGTTTCTAGTTGTTTTTTTGTTAGTTTAGTTTCGTTAAAATTTGAAGTGTACTTTTAGGAGTTTTGCTCTTTTTTAGTTACGATACAATTTGAAGTATACCTTTAGGAGTAAACGATTTCATATTATAGCTGGTTAAGAATGTTGCGGAACAAATTTGTTGCCAAAACATGTAACGCAATCAATTTCTTTTTGTGAATTCATTTTGAGCATAATTTTCATCAGTTAGGCAGCATTTAATTTTCATAAAATCAAACTTTTCGATTTTATTTTGCAATAAAAATGAAAAATTTCATAAAATAAACATTTCCTAAAAATGTTACGTAATACAGCTGCTGCGGCAACATGTTGCCAACGAAATTTCAGCATATCTTTTCTGATTTTGTCTGTTTCCTCGCCTTTATTATGGCAGAAAAATTGTCATATCGGCCATGAAATCAATCTGACAGTAATATGACATTAACTTTTTGGCTCAAACTCATTAAAGGAATAACTGTCAAAGAGTCATTTATCACTGCGCTCGCGAAAGAGTTGCATTGGCAGTCGAAAAAAGTAAAAATGTGTTACTGATAAAGTGGCATTTAATGGCCAGGATTCAGCTACAGACGACGAGTGGGAAGCGTGAATTGATTATAAGGGCATATTAAAGGATTGTAATGCAGATAAATTGCAACGAAGCAATAATGGTGGATGGCTAAAAAGGCAGTTGTGATAAACCGAAAACTGAGCGCCAAGCAGCTGTTATTAAGTTTAGGAAATATGGCTAAAAAAGAAGGCAAAAGTAGCAATTTAGGTGGAAAAAGTGCTACACTCAGTAACAAAAATTATATAAAAATAAAATTTTTTTTCAAATAAAATTTTTTAAAAATTAAAATAAAATAAAATAAAATGTAAATAATAAAAAGAATTATATTACAAACAAAAACTAAGAAATAATAAAAAAAATTAAAATAATTAATAAAAACTTAATAAAAAAAATTTAAAATAATAAAAAAAATTTGGGTAAAAATATTATAATAAAAAAAAATTATAATAAAAAAAAATTAAAATAAAAATTTCACATATGATAAAAAAATATTTATATAATATTAAGTAACGCTTGTTTCTTTGTATTTTCCACTATCTCGACACTCTTTTACACATACACTTGCCTTTTTCACACACAGTTTCTTTGTAGCGAGCTCTCCCACAGCTGTCAAAAACTTAAATTGCCAATTATATTACCTCCCATACAACTACAAACACTTACGCACACTAGCCACACACTCGCATTAACGCACATAAACTCAACAAAATATGTAGTCACTGCTTTTTATTTTATTTTCACGCAACATCTTGTTCTCTGGTACATTTTTAATTTAATTTCAATTTGTCAAACAAGCTAAGTCACTTTACCGTAAAGTTTTGAGCCTTTTAACTCACTCTTGCTGTACAAGTTTAACAATGAGCGCACTTTTTCATTATTTTATTCGATTTTTTTCCTGTTTTCCCTTACACACTACATTTTATTTTCTACAGTTTACAGTTTTATTTCACTTCGCTTCTCAATCACGCCACTCACGCACACTTACTTCTTATGTTTTCGCTTTCGTACGGTATTTTCCGATATTATTTGTCGCCTTTCTTTGTAGAAAGCTCGGCAGCTGCAGTTAATTACACGCGGTGGCTTGAAGGCAGTGACATGGTTGCATTGGCAACTCATTCTCGCCCACGCTGCGTGGCGTATAGCTTTTACTGTGCGGCGCACACATTCAAGCGTTGCATACTTTTTGGCTGATTCGCCCCAATTATGTGTAATGACTTCCTGTCTGTAAGGGGTTTAGTGAATTTTCTGGCGGTTTAGCTTTCTTACCGAACCAGCAGAGAGTGGGCGTGCTTGCCATAAACGAAAATTGAATTATAGCAAATGTTGACGCACAAACAAATATACAATATTCGTAGCTAGAAGCATTTTAGGTTAGGTGAGCCGAAGGTTAAGAGCAAGAACATTATGGTAGCAACTTTATTTTTTTCTCTCTTTAATTTGCTAAGCTTGTGACTATGGATTGATAATAATAAAATTTTATTACTTTTATATATTTATATTTGACGTAATGTTAGATTTTTACTTAGTTTCCAGCGCCGTTTAAGTTTAATTCGATTTCGGAATATGTAAATAAGTTAAGGAGAGCAATAAACGCGTATGAAAAGTTGGTTCACATCTTTTTTCATGTCGCCTAAAAGTATGCTAAACACAAAATTTTTCAAACCATATTCAATGATTTATTCCTTCTGCGGAAGAAAATTATCTAAACTTATTTTTTGATTGCTCTACGATGAGATGACTAAGTATTTTAATACACTGAAACAGAAAATTAATTCTTATAAGTTTTCTTGTAATATATATTGAGAAAGCGAAAATTTTTCATATATTTTTTAACTTTTTCATTTTGACTAAAACCGTTCAAAGGTTTTCTGGGCACAAAAGACTCGCTAAAATATATTTATGCAATTTTAAAATTTCTTCTTTACAAGAAAATATATCTAGTGATATACGACTACATATGTACATACCTATGGGCATGTGATTTCTCCGCAAAGAAATATCAAAAACACGAAAATCAGTTCTTCATAAAACTGTATACACAACAGAATAATGCCGAAAATTTCGGGATCCCGATTTAAAAATTTTCCAAATTGCAATATTAAATTAAATTAAGCGGAAATGTGCTGCGGGTATTTTTTTTTACAAAATTAGATTCCTAAAAATCAATTCCGATATTTTCGGAATCCGGTTTAGATATAAACACGTTTTTTTTTGCACTAAATTTTAAAAGGTGATAAGCTGATGTCCTTCGACAAAAAATTTCGTGATCCCGAAAAAATTTTGATACCGAAATTTCAAGATATTTTCGAAGTTGTGAAATTGCAAGCTATAAGGCTTTGTTACATAGACTTATTTTTTCGCTTTTAGTTTAAAAAATTTTAATAACTGTTGCGAGTCGCGTAAAATTTTCGGGATTCCGAAAAATTTGTAATGTCCAAATTTTATCATATTACAAAAGGTGTGAAACTAAGGCAATGATTTATTTTCTGGCGAAGCCTCTCTACTTGAATAATGTCTTTTTACTTGTTTACATGTACTCTTATGCATTGAAGTATGTATTTATATACATACATACATATGGTGCAGAGTGTGTTTGTTTATAGGTTAAAATCCTAGGCACAACAGCAACATGTAGTTGTCTATTTTTAGAATTTATGTGGGCCGCAAATCATTGCAAAGCTGTTTTTAAAATACTTGTCCTTGTAGACCTGCGTAGGAATAAGTATAGCATGCCTTACACATACCTATATTACATAAAAGCACTTATGTATGTACATAACCGCTCGTATACTTGTATATATTGACATTTTTATGAGAATTTATTTGCGTAGACCTATATAAATATGTAGGTCAGTATTTAGACAAAATCTTTTATGAAGGCTTATGAGAATAAAATTTTTAAATGCCAAATATATATTCACATATATTTATATTTAAACGCAAAAATAACGTTAACAAAATTATATAATATATACCATACATACAGTGCCGCACCTTAAACCACATATAAGAGCTAAAGATCTCCAATTATTGCCAATTACTTGCAATGACGATAGTTTAAAGCTGGTCTTTTGTTATTTTTATTGTTATTGCTATTTCTTATTGTTTCTTGGCTGTCGGTAGAGCACTCGATGGTTTACCGTTATCCGCTTCCAGTACATTAAAGTGCTTGAATTATAGCAATTTTGTGGTTTTAAGCTCCCAAATTCGGGTTGGTTACTCAACAGCCTTACAGTTAAGTTTTATTTAGGCAATACGCAATATATTTACAACAAAAACACGCTTACTTGCATAACCACATGTAAATACTTTTGTTAGTCACCATGCAGCCGACACATGCACACGCATTCACAGACATTAAAAAGCCTTCAAATTATCACCAACTCACACACCGCCGAGAATATTTGTCATGTGACTAAATATGCACTCACACACGCATACCAACAAAGCTTTTTGTAAATTTATGTAAATATGTGTGTGTATGTGTAGTATGATAGCAACTTAACTGTGTAATAATTAAATATTTGCGCTTGTAACTGTGGCGTGCAGATAAAAGTGCTTAAAGTTTGTAATTACTTTAATAAAGCACGTGTGCGTGTCTACATATGTCTTGAAAAAGCTTATAGGAATCCCCATTTGCGAAAATGCTTGATAAGTCTTTCTCTGCAACAGATGATTCTTACGAGCACATAGCATGTGGTCATTGCACCAAACTTTACACCATTTTTGAACAAGCTCATTAGGTTGTACCTATAAACATTTGTTCGTAAATGATTTTTCTTCCCAATTATCTACTCAATCTATAGTAGCTCTTATTGCCAAAAATTATTCTCAATACAGAATATATTTTGTCTAACTTCTATCGATATGATTTCTGGTCTTTAAAGCCTCTAGCACGCACTTCATGTGGTCAAGCTTAAGAGTATGAGTAAATCGAACCATAACATTAAAGATCTGTCAACTATGTGATCTAAACTTTTCCCAAAACTTTCAGTGCAATACTAAAATTTTTATACGACCAAGCCACCGCAGCAGTTTCTGAAACTATTTGCTACACTAGGAGCCGCACCAAGTGCGAACAGGGTTACTTCATTGACTAATATGCATTAGCAATATAATTTTTTAGGTTAAGCGAAATAATACTTATTTTAGGTTATGCTCACTTATTTCTAAGCTGAAGTCTCTTTGTGTTTCGATATAGTTGAAGCATATACCTATTCCGTAAAACCAGAATATCAGACTTTATATTAACTTCGAAGATTTTTTTTAAAATTTGGCATATTTCAAAAGTTTTAATTTGAAACTTTTTTCTAAAATTTAGTATATTTCAAAATATTTAATTTTTTTTTTTTATAAAAAATAGTATATTTCAAAAATTTTAATTATGAATTTTTCTAAAATGTAGGATATTTCAAAAATTTTAACTTGAAACTTTTTTCTAAAATAATATGAAATACCCTAAGTATTTCAAAAGTTTTAATTATGATATTTTTTGTTTTGTAAAGTTAATAATGTTTCAAAAATATTAATTTTGAAACTTTTTTTTAAATTATAAATATTTCAAAAATTTTAATTTTGAAATTTTTTCCTAAACTGTAGGATATTTCAAAAATTTTAATTTTGAAATTGTTTTCTAAAATTTAGGATATTTCAAAAATTTAAAATTTGCAGTGTGTTTTATAAAGTTTAAATATTTCAAAAATTTTAATTATGAATTTTTATAAAATTAAGAATATTTTAAGAGTTTTAATTTAGATTATTTTTTTGTTTTTAATTTGGTCATTTCAATAATTTTAATTTGAAACTTTTTGCTAAAATTTAGGATATTTCAAACATATTAATTTGGAATTTTTTTTTGTGATCTAGGATATTTTAAAAATTTTAATTTTGTAATATTTAAAAAAAAAAATTAGTAAAATTCTCATAAATTTTTTTTAAATTCATATATAATTAGTAAGCTAGCTTTCTGTGTACTCATAGCTCTGTAAGTGTCCGTATGTACATAAAATATAATTGTCATGTAGCTAGATTGTGGCTGTGTGTGTAAATTGAAAACGCTTTCACTGTCCGCTTGTAAATATTTAAGCGTCTGTGTGTAAACGACATTAAAACATGAAAACTTAGTTTACCATAAAGACAAGAAACATTAAGCTACAATTAAATCATATTTTGCTTTCTACTTCTCAACACCAATGCAACGCTGACGCGCGCCTACAAACACGCAACAGGTCGAGTACTACCCCCCACACGAGCGACTGCATCAACCCACCGCGGCCGCTTGTAAACGCTGTTTCCTACCCTACCGCCCAGTGGTGCACTGGGGCGGTGCTGCCGGTATACGCGGCCGCCCAAACAATAAATACTACGCCTACACCATCAACAACAACAATAATAATAATGTCGACAATGTTGACGCCGACGCCAGCAGCATGCTGCTGACCAACGCGCTGCCTACAACGATCAATCGACCACCGATCGCTTACGCCTCCACCGCTAGCAACCACTACTTAAACAGCGTGAGCGCTAACAATAAAAACAATAGGCAGAAAAGTCGCTTTAACAACAACAACAGTAAAAGCGCTTATCGGGCGCGCGCGCGCTCAATAGCCGGCGCGTCGGCTGTCGGCAGGTCACAGCACTGGGGCACGCCGCCGCGTATAACAGCATTGCACCGTCGCAGTTTTCGTCGACCCGTTACGGACTCCATGGAAAATGACGCTAACTGAATGTGAATGAAAAAAATATCGGAAAAAATCAAAAAAAAAAAAAGAAATTATATACACATATGACAATAATTATGTTGAAGAAGGCGTGTAAAAAATTAAAAAAAAAATATTAGCGCATGTAGTAGTCAGTTTTGAAGCAGAAAATTACAAAAAAAATAATAATAAAACTTATATTGAAAAAAAAGATACACAAATGTATACAGCTAAACTAACTAGTGAACTATATATACATATGAATGCGTAAATTGCATATTTTATTGTAGTTGTTAGGTTGAAATGACAATAATTGTGTATTTGAAAAATGTTTGAAGTCAAAAAAAAAATATTTCAAAAAAAATTGAGAGTTTTTTGGAGTTTTAAAGTGAGAAGACAATAAATAAGAGAGAATAACTGACACACACACATACATAAAAAATGTATACAGATACAAACGCACTAACAAACGGTAAACAGCTTGTACTAAAAAAAAAATTAAATTTATAAATATATATATCTGTAAAAAAGTATATGAAATTATATGTATAACAACGCTATAGCAAAGAAGTTGAATGAATTGCAGGCAAAAACAAACATATAATATATATACAACATTTTTTTATTACAATATTATTTCTCGCGAGTGTTCGTGGCAGTAACATTGAGAAAAGCTCAAAATGTAGTATACCTTCAGGCGCGTCTTCTGTCTATGCGCAACAAGCAAAGTGTATTTCATTTTGATAACGGTTAAAGTTTAGGCAGGTGTTTTGAAATATATACACCGTTAAGTGTTGGCCTTAAAGAGCATATATTTTACTTATCTGTACAGTTGTAGATGTCAATGACTGGAATATATGCTTTGTTATAGCGTACAGCCGATTTCATTTGTTTTGTCGCATGCGACATAACAACATTTTGACCCAGGCAAAATATGGTCAAAATGGAAATCGCTGCATGCTATGCAACGGTAGCGAATAAAAGTAGAGGGGCGAAGGATAAGGATGGTGAAAAAATAAGAATTTATGTATCGAAAAATATTTATTTTTTTTTTTTTAGTTGAAATAACGGTATAATTTTGGTGCAATTTAATTTTTTTTTTAATTAATTTAATTTTAAAAAACAAATAAATTTTTTTTAAATTAATTTAAGAAATCAATTAATTATTTACTTTACCTAACCTTCAAACAACCTCATTGCTATAGAGTTGTCATATAAATTAAAAGATAATTATGAATTATATATCAATGAAAGATTTCAAAAAACAAAGCATGGCATATCAAAAAGGCAGTCTATAAACCATTTATCTATTCTATATATGCAAAAAAAACATATTATATAATAAAAAATAAAGAATTAAACAATTTTTAAAACTTTATAATAAAATAACCACTTTTTTAAATTAATTTTGAAAATATATTTTAACATATAACGAAACATATCCGTTGGTTAAAAAATGGACCTAGATGCATTTTTTTTAAAGAAAATTAAGATATAAACAATTTGTATTTTAATTTTGTTTTTGGAAGCTAAGTGAAAAACTTACATTAAAAAAAATTGATACAAATAAATATTTTCTTATTAAATATTAATTTTTTTTTAATTTTTTAAATTTCTGATTTATAATTTTTTTTTTAAAGTTTAAAAAGAAATTGAAGTTTTTTAATTAATAATTAATTTTGAATATATATTTTTACGCAAACATTTTGTTTTGCAAAAATATAATTTATATATTTAAAAAAAATAATTGCTTTGAACAAAACAGTTTTAATACATTTTTTTTTGTTTGATTTACGTAAACAAGATATATATTTTATTTATGTTTTATACTACTTTTAAATTATAAAATATTTATGCAAAAATTTATTAACATTTTTTATTTTAAATATTAACACTTGAAATTTAGTAATTATTTATTTTGATTAAACGGTTGTAATAAAAAATAATTTTTTTTACCTTACAAATATTTAAAATTAAAAAAAAATATTTAAAAAAATTATGACACAATATACATGCATATAATATATATTTACACCATATCTGCTCAACTTATCTTTACTGACTTATTGCATGTCCAAGAAATTCTAATAAATCTTAGCTAAAAAAACTAACAACTATGAATTTATTAAAATATCCATTATTATAAATTTAACTAAAAATATACAATTTATGGTCTTAATGTTTTGAACCCACTAATATTTAAAAAAATATGCTTAAATTATAAGGCTGGAGACTAATGCTATATATATGACAATAATTTAATTAAATGGAAAATTAAAACAATAAAAAATACTAAAAAAATTTAAACAATAAAATTGAATTTTAAAAATTAATTTTTTTAATAAATACCATAATTACAACATATGCTGTGTTTTATTATAGTCTTAATTAAATATAGTAAATATTTTTTAATAACCTTTTTCCCTAATTATATAAAACAAGTCTACATTAAAAATTATTATTGTTTTTTTTTAAATAAAATTTATTTGATACAAAATAAATCTCAAAAATTGTAATAAAATTTTCTTTACAAAAAAATTTTCATATATTTCATAAAAAATACAATAAAAAAAATTTAATTAAAATTTCTTGTTCATTAAAAGTCAAAGTTCATATATATTTAAACTTTATATATAAATTTTTATTAAAAAAACTTAAAAAACTTAAGTTAAAATTAAAATTTAAATGTTATGAACTATATAATAAAATATATTCTATAAAAAAAATTTTATTAAACCTTTCATATAATTTTTTTTATTTGAAAAAAATATTTAATTGTTCAAAAACTTTTAATATACAAACATATTAGTTACCTTTTTTATTATTATTGCGTTTTTAATTTAAGTAACTTGTAGAAATGTCGCGAATTTAGAATGTGGTGACGCTACAATTCAAAAGATATAAAATTATATAAAAACACCTAATTTAGAAAAATTTTTTTTTATGAATTTATACTTGAAATTATAAACTACTGTAAAAACATTTGTCAGAAATAATTATCAAAAAAAATAGTTGGTCAAATTTGACAAGATTCCGGAAGGAAAAAAAATTTAAAAAACCAAAACTTTTCGCAAAAAAAAATTTTAAAAAAATATACCGAAACAAAAATATTAGTAAATGATGCAAGCATAGTATCGAAATTAAAAATGTGCGAAAAAATGATGAATTGATGCGTTGAAAAATTAAAAATATTTCCTTGTCACTTTTAAGTGAATATACAGTGAATTTGAGACATCAAGACAATACTGCGAAGAAGACAATAATAGCTGAGGTATGTATGTAGCGCATATCCACAGCAACAAGAAGAAAATACAAATTGAATAACATGTATAATTATATACATATATGAACATAATAAATTTTTTGCATATATATGTTTACAAAAAAGAAAAATTACTTTTTTTCTTAATAAAAAAAATAATTAAGAACTTTAATTTTTAATGAAGTTAAAAGCAGAACCAATAACAAATTTATTTAAATTTTGTTAATTCTGTGAAATTTATGAAAAGCATGCTGACTGTTAAATCGACAATAAATATTGTGAACTTGTGCAAATTATACACAATTTTATGAATTAAAAACCTGTAAGACGCATAAAAGCGTACAGAAAGTGAAATAAAAAAAAAGTCAGAACAAAATATCCAAAAAAAAAAAAATAATTTAAAAAAAATAAAAAAATATAAATTTTGAAAAATTAAAAAAAAAATATTTATAAAAAATTTTGAATTTTGAAACAACTTTATTGCAACAAAAATGTTCTTAAAAATTTGCATGTAATGTTGAAATATATTATGTAGCATATATACATAGAAATAAAAAGCATATACAAAAAAACAAAACAACAAAAAATAATTAAAAACTGTTCGATTTCAATGTTGTTCTATATCAATATTATACATATATACTTTATTGCTAGACGTTTGAGCAAATATATATTTAAACAAAAAATGAAGTAAATTGTAATAAATTCAATGAAACATTGTTAAGTATTAAAACAAACGAAGGACAATAAAAAATATGCATATGTGTACGTATTTATTCAAATTCAAAAACACACACAACATAATACAACACACCAACAACAACTAACATAACTGACACATATATGTAGCATGTAATTCCATAATGGTCGTAATATGTAAGTCTGATGTGGTCAATAATATATTTAGAGCAAAAACAAGAAAAAATACAAAAAAAGGAAAAGCTAAAAAAAAAATTACTATTACTTAAAAAATTTAAAAAAAAACATAAGTTTAAAAAAATACTTTCAGAAAAAATACTTGTTACATGTACATACCTCTATGTATACATACATACAAAATATTTGCGCAATATATGCTTATAAATAAAAATAAAAAAATTAATGTGCTTTTCTTGACGTAAAAATGACAATATATATACATAAAAATGTATATGAAATACTTGCATGTATTTACTAATAAATATTATATAATAATAAAAAAAATATATATAATTATATACTATATATGTATACTCATATAAATAAAACTTGCACACATTTATATGCATGTTTATGAAATGAAATTCTCCCCTGAAGAGCTTAAAAGCGTTGGTCGACAACCAAAACCGTTCGATCACTCATTTAAGCAATGAATTGACAGCTGAATATTAAAATGTATGAATATTATGTTAATAAAATCATCATGTAATAAAAACTAAAAAGACAGTATGTATAAATAAGTAAATAAAAGTACCCACTATATATAAATGGTTTGCTCCTACACTAAAAACACAAAAAAAAAACATGATTCTTGTTTTATTTAAAATTTGATAAAGTGTGGTGAGTATAGAACTTTTTTTAGCAAAAGAAAAATGTAACTAAAAGCAAAATGCTGTCACGTTTGCTGAAACACTGTACTGATATCCATCAATATTATATTAACACGAAAGTCCAATTGGGTGGCAACTCTATTACAAAATATTTTCAAACAGAAAGAGAATGCGTAGAAAATATCTAAATACTTTTGAAGAAACTTTTATTTTATTTTCTGTTTTTAAATAAGTGGCAACTCTGCTCCAATATAGCACGGTGAGAAAAATTTCAAAAAGCTGTTTACTTTGATACCCATATTGTTATACATATTTCTTTCAAGTGAGCAACAAATTTTAAAAGGCTGGCAACATTTCACAAAACATTTAGTCGTTGTAAGGGTTTTAAATTCTCTCCAATGTCTTATGATTTTGTTAAATTGAAATTTGCAAACAGTTGGCAACTCTTTTCAAAAATAGTTCAGTTAGAAAGCTTTCTAAAACCTCTTTTATTTGATACCCATATATTAATATTTAATTATATTGGTTCACAAACAGATGGCAGCACTTCTCAAAAAATTATTTAACTCTGTGAAACGCATATTGTAATAATTTGTTTCTCTTATCAACATCATATTTAATCACATATCATCTCCTCATAATTAAATTGAAGTAGTATTCCCTACTTAGTATTATAACGAAAATATTTCAACAACAATGATCACTCAGCTTCAGTATAAACGTAATGAAAAAGTTTTTACAGCAATTTCCATACAATTGTAGAATGGAAAACATTGGATGACACTTAATTTCACCACAGAACGCAAATTTTTATTATTTTACGTTCTCTGAATTCGCTCTTTAAACTAGACTATCTCCACGCATTCGACCGCAGTTTGTTGCATACTTTTAGGCTTAAAAAGGTATATATATATATATATATATATATATATTTGGGTTCCACTTACTTGACAGTTTGGATGTCACTTCCATTTGTTTTGTTCAGGGAGACAGAAACTTGAAGCAGAGAAATGCGTAACATCTATGGTTTTAACTCGGAGTGTCTTTATTAAAAACTCGTAGCTTAGAATAGACTTGCCCGAATGGGTATTGTACAACTTATACCAAATATTATAAGATGAGTATTGCTTATAAGAAGGATCATGGTTATAAATCTCAACCTAGATGCAAACAAAAAATTATTTAAAACTCTTTTAATATCAATTCTTCCACGGTAGCTCATCTGAGTTTGCTTCTGATAAGAAAATATTGTCTTTATAACTCCGTTGTAGTCGGTTACCAAAATGTAGGTTGAAGAACTTTCAAACGAGTTTGTTTGAATTTTATTGACGTCACTTCAGCACACTATAATCGGCAACAGTATTCTACAACAGTAAGCACGAATATGTCTGGCTTCAAGCAAATCGTTACGACTTGAGGGTAAATCTTCGGCGAGTTAGAAATGCTAAAATAAATTGGTTCAAATATATTGGTAAGGTCAGCTACCAGGTTATGAAATTAATACTCTTCTAAAAATTGTATTTCAATAAATTTATTCCTTGACACTAGAATGATAGAAAGATATTTTACAGTTTCGATATATTCTTTAAAAATTTGAAGTTGATGTGGCAATTAGTATCGGAGATATAAGCGTATTTGCTAGAAATTGTTAGCTTAGTGTAACCAGCTCCCAAACATTTAATAGCGATTTTTTAAAAACGCTGTTTTCAAAGTCGATGAGGAAAATTACTCCAAAAGTTCAAAGCGACTAGCAATTTTCATACGATTCTTTTAAATATAATTGTCTGGTAATTATCGAAGGTATACGTTTTTCGATAATAATATCGATTTTTTAACCATGCTGCATTGGAAATTTTCTCACGAAAAAATTTTTTTTGACCAGTGACTAGTTTTTCAGTCCTTATCTGTATTCAACTATAGAAGCAATATTTTTTTTGGATCTTGAACTTTATATAATTTTGAGCAGAAAAAATTTTCTTGCCGATTTTAAACGATATTATTCTTACTAAAATTAATTTTTTTCCACATTATGCACTCCACGTTTTTGTAAAAATTTATTTAATTTTTTTTATACAAAATTTATTTTACTATCGCTTTTGCCACTTGCATGCCAAGCATTAACTGGTACTCTAGCGCTAAAAAATTTATTATTGTAAAAATGCATACAAAATGGTTCATAAAGCACAAAGTACACATACTTGTAGTATGTATATGTGTGCCTATAAATATGCACGTGTGTGTGCATGGTCACATCAGTTTTTAGATAATAAAAATTGTAAGTACCTACACGTCCTTGAATTATTGAAATGCTTATGAAAGCAAAATGGCAAATGGCACATTAAACTTTTATATATTATATGGCGTTATACATATACCTATATATAATATATATATATAGATATAACAATAAATACTTACAGCAAACGAATTGCAATTTTTTATAGAAAACTTTACCATTTTATTAACTTTCTTACATTAAATGTATTTGTAGCATGTATGCATGTATGTGTGTATATGTAAATGTTTATTATTTTTATTTTTATGTTTTTGTTTTTGCTTACAAATAAATTTACTTACAAATTAACTGTTATACTACAATGTATGCATATTTGTGTGTGTGCTTGCATTTGTAATACAAATCATCAGGCGCAGTTGGCTCAAGCAATGCGGCATAGGCTAACACAGGGTTGCACAAACGGCCTTCAATCAGCCGCGCAGCCTCACTGCCACGACTTCAACACTTATATTGCGGCCTTTATTTGCCAACTGCTTGGCCTTGGCCATAAGTTACACTTGACTTAACTAATAAAATGTTAATTGAATTTTAATTACAGTTGATTTATAAATTAATGAGACAAATATCCAGCATACAATAATATTGTGCAATTTTTATATAGTTATGCACTTACATAATTATTTTTTATGCAAATCTTCCTAATTAATATATGCAAATTAAATTAAAGTGTTGAATTGTTAGTTTAACAAACATTTTAATTACCACAGTGGTCAATACTAGTGTGTATACAAGTAAATAATTTGTAAACTTATGCTATATGCTGTAACCTATTTATGCTATATATACTGTACATTTATTATTATTTTAGTTTTTTTCATTTGTATAGTTTTGTTTTTGCTATTTGAATGATGAATAGCATCATTTTGTGACATTAACAAATTATTGTTTAATTTTTGTTTTAGTAAGATATCATACCACTTTTAATGTACACTCTAATAATTATGAAGAGGTTTCAGAAGGTCGAAACTGTATTTTTTCATGCACAAAAAAGTCTCTATAATATTAGATTCAACAGCGGGTCTCAGATTTTCCACCTTAGCGGTCGCAACTCACTACACAAAAAAAAGGGTATTCCATAGTTTTTGTAAGTCTTTATTGGCTCCAGTCTCAGTCTAACGAATACCTGACGGTGACATTATAAATCAGCTGTCTAAATGACAGAATAACAGAGTTTCTTATACTTTTTTTTAACAGAATCATCTTTTAACAAGACTTCGGCTGCAGCGAAGCTATAATACACTACAGGACTGCGCGACCGATAAACGGCGAAGAGAGACCTTTGATTTGCACAGAAAAATATTTCGCTATTTATTACATTCCAAAACTTTTAGTTGACCGCTAGTTAATCGCTCAAAAACTACAGCTTTTCACTACAATTACACACCTCCACAAATGTTTTACCAATACTTTGCCTGCGCCTGCGTGGGTAGTGGATGATTATACGCCGCCGCAGCGACTGCTGCTGCGCTGTTTAGTTGATTGTTGTGCGCCGCTGCCGCAGCGCCAGCCGCCGCGTAATCATTGAGTGTGTGTTGAGCGGCAGCCGCATGCGCGTGATGAGCTGCGGCAGCATTATAGTTGGCAGCCGCTGCTGCCGATTGATTCAGATGATAAGCGGCTTGTGACCAATTCGTGGTGGTGTCCAGTTTCGAATAGTTCTCGCCGGTTAGATGTGAGAGGGATGGTGAAATTTTCGAAGCATTCTCCAGCGTCAGTTTAGAGAAGTCATCGATAGAGAGTTTAGAGTAATCTGCAAATGAACGAGACAATCAATAAAAATGTTTGAGTATTTTACACCGCAGGAAGCAGTAACTACTACCCACCTTGATGATAGTAATTCTGACCGCCGAAATGTCCGTGCTGAAAACTGCTAGCAAATCCATGTTGCGCCGACTGCGCCACCAAATCATAGCCGCCCATTTGCGTGTGATGGTGCGGATGATGAGCAGCTGCTGCGGCTGCAGCCGCCGCTGCATGCGCCGCATGATTTTCATTCATGCCCGCGCTAGCAGTACTCGCGGCGGCGGGACTGTAGCCAGCCATGGAACCGACTGCGGCTAGTGGACCAAAACCGAGTGGCGCTGTGGCAGCAGCACCGCCGCCTACGCCACCAGGTACACCGGCGCCACTGCCGCCACCATTCATGGGCGAAAGCCCGGTACCCGAACCGCCGGAATGTTTGCGTAGACGCGCACGTCGATTACTAAACCATACTTGTATGCGCGCCTCTGTGAGTCCCGTAGTCTGTGCAAGTTCCTCGCGTGTATACACATCTGGATACTGTGTGCGTGTGAACGCGCGCTCGAGTGCCTCCAATTGTTCGGCGGTGAATGTGGTGCGCGACCGACGTTGTTTACGTTTCAACGGTATGCCAGGTTCCGATTCGGTATCGCTGATATCTGAGTCGCGTCCTGAAATGAGAGAAGTTGTAATGTTGTAAAATTTTGTTCTTGCTTTTTTGCTGGAAGGGTTTCAAGCTAATTATTTCTATTTGAAAATCCTAACTATGTTTCCTACATCAGTATAACCTTAGGCAGTAAGCTATACATATATTATTTTGAAGCTGCATAAACCCATACATTGTTCGAGCAGATATTTAAAGTATTACAATTCTAAATTCGCCCGGAGCGAAGACACAGAAATTTCGGTATGCGAAAGAACCTTACGACAACTAAACTCGAAGTAAGAGTATTGTAGCTTTATATAGATTGGGCTTACTCTCTCTGATATTTAATTGAGTACCTTAGTCTTATAAAAATTGTTTAGGGAGACGATGTAGTCGAAACATTAAGGAAATCTCTTGACTATTGCGTTCTCAAGGTAGCTTCTTTCATTACCCATAAAGTCTACTTAAGTTGATTATGAGTATTTTTCGATAATATATTCTTAAACTCGATTAATCGATCGATCTATATAATTTCTTCAGACGCTGAAAAGGCATTATGTTTCGATATCAGCTCATATTAGGAACTATTTGAAGATCTACCACCTTTTTCCACAATAGCTACTAAAAAACACTCTCAAAAATCTTTGCGAGTTCAGCGTTAGGTGCCACTTCTGTCTTGTAAATATATTTCCACGACTTGTAGTTGCATTTCCATTATCATCCCTTCCTGAGAAATAATCATATTCAACGCTCCCGCATCCAATCGCGGAGCCCGCCCGAGCGGAATTATTGAAATGTAACTCGAAATTATTCACGCCTCGTAAAAATTAATAGATTTCCACACACACACACACCCCACACAAAAACGAGAACAGGAATTTATGCAGACACTTCTTATGCAAGTAGCGGAATTCACTAGACTTAAGAAGCTAATGAATGCATGTAAACCATTTCACTTGGTTAAATTGAATAGCGAGAAATATCGACAAGGCAATGTGACCACCAAAGATTTTGAATGGCTGGAAGTGGAGCCAATAAGCAATGCGATTGGAGTTGACACACAAAAATATACGTAATAATCTAATAAGCAAGGGAAATTAACGCGCTTATGACTCTTACCTATTAAAATAAATTGTATTGTATAGTAAGCGGAGTACCACAAGCGTTTTTAAATGAGAATTTCTATAACTGTACGACCACCATGTCTTCACAAGAATATAGAGACATTTTGAAATACATACAAACAAACATATGTATATTATATGTATTACAAAATTAACCGCGAAACCATCAGCCAACCGTAAGCAGATTTTCTCAGCGATCCGGCTCGTCAGCTTCCCTGCCCAACGAGCCGCATTGCTGTGGCGGCCACAGTTTGACTGGGTGTGCAGACAATTAATGCTCCATTGCATTTTAATTCAAACGTCAAAAAGCGTCGCAAATCTGTCAAAAGAACTCGCCGCCTTCGCTGTCGCCGTCACAGTCGCGCAGCCACCGCCAATTGTCTAATACCTAAACTCAGCCTTTCGCGGTATATCGTTCAACTGCTTCAATTGGTGCTTGTTAGTTACTCGTAACGGGTCCATAAGCTAAATGGAAAATTATGCCGTGTTAAATACTTTGAGGGTTTTAGCTTGCACAAATTGGTAAAAGAGTTTAACTACAACTTAATTATGTTGAATATTCAACCGTTTGTTAAGTCGCGTCTATGTATTATTTTGCCGATAATTGACAAGAAAATTTGCGATGCTCTCTGTACACATACAATTCGGGGAAGAATTTGGCACCTCAAAAGAGCCGTGTGACTAGGACTTTGCTGTAAGAGCTAAGGGAGTTCAGATCTACTTGGTGTTAGCGCGTTCTCACCACCGATTGAAGACGAAATTGCAACTACATTTCTCTGTGTAGACCCTAGTTATTAAACGGAACTGGTATTACCTTCGCTCATTCATAAAAACTGTTAACTAGTTTAAGCCAGCCCACGTGCAGACAAACCCCTATGCACTTGATCATTTCATGGGATGCCTGGACGGCCTTGCTTCCATTGTCCACCCATTGGTCTTGAATAGAAAGAGTTTTTTTCTGGATTAACGTCTACCATGCATACGACATGATCTAACCAGCGCGGTTTTTGCATTTCCATATACCTAACTATATTTAAGTTGCCGTAGCGCTCATACAGTTGACGTAGCGCTCAACATCATTCGTGGTTCTATCTTCTTTGGTACTCATACCTCACGCGAACGGCTTCAAAGACCTTGTGGAGAACAATTCTCTCGAATGTTCCAATTACTTTCTCATCTCATTTTTTCATCGTCCATATTTCTGCGCCATATAATAAGACGGGCATGACAAGAGCCTTATAGAGCATAATTTTTGTTTTTTGAGAGAGGGATCTTTTTCTCAATACATATCGATACCAAAGTAGCACCTGCAGACAAGAGTTATTCGATGCTTGATCTCTAGTTTTAAATTATGGCTGGCGCTTATGCTTATTCGGAGATAGACAAAGTTTCACTTTTTCAAATTTATAGCTGTCAGCTGCGAGGCAGTTTCTCAGTCACGGGGGATCTTTGTGTGTGACCTCTAGCTACTTTTGTACTTTTAGAGTAGACTAGTTATGTCAAATCGGTCACTTCTACGAATCAGCTTTATATTTTGCTCAGTGCATACCCTGTCAAACACCTTCGCATTTATCTGTCCACATCTTAACACTTTTGTGAATAGAATTCATTGTGACAGTTTCATTACACTTCGAATCAGCATAACATAAATGACAATCTGCGCACAGTAGTTGACAGCTGTTACAACGGATTTCATTACATAATAACGACAAATGTCAAAGAGCTGTCACATGTCATATGCAAAATAGTGAAACCGAAAAGAAAATAACAACAAATGTGCACTAAACCAAACGTCAAATTTAATTGAGTATCCACTTACAGCTCGAAACATAACAACAACACAAATATCACACGCGAACCAGGTCCATAAATAAACAACGTGATATACATATTTATACACATAACTAGTCTCACTATTTAGTTATTGGTTTTTTTTGGCAAACACGATCTCATAGTTGTCGTCCGTTCACTTGTATGCTTTCGTGACAATGTGACGTACTAGTCAGCATAACAAGCAACAAGTGACGGGCGAGCCGACGACTAACTGGTTGGTTGACTCTCAAAAGTGCCGCGCTCAAATCGCGCATGAAGCGTGCGGGTGTTCCCATGTGTTGGTTCTTACCACCGCCACGGCACAGCTAATGCTGTTGCTCACCGTAGTGTGTTCTATTTGAGTTAGCAAGAGATTTGTGGGCGTGGTTGTCAATGTCGGTTATGCGCCGAAGATCATGGCAAATTATTTAGAGAGCTCATTACAAAATAGTGTCATAAAAATCCATACACACACGCACCACACATAGGGATGACTCGCCTTCAATTAATACTAGTGTGTGTGTGTGTTTGTACAACTCCTTCGCGCTTTCCCTACTAGATAAAAGTGAAAAGGCCGACGGTAGAATAGGCAGTTTGGGAAATTATTCAACGAGATCGCAAGCTCATTTTTCAGGCAGTAAAGTGCCAGCCGGCGTTCGGCAAAGAAATTGTATGAATTAGAAGTGGTCATGGTGCATCGTAAATGCCGTTAAATAGCGTGTATTTTCGTGGTTTTGCCATTTGTGCAATTTGACATGGTTGCATCGCCGTGTTTTTGACATTTAGTCCCACAATTCTACTAAATACTTACATACAAGCGAACTTATGAAACGCCGCCGGCATACGAGCAATTGTTGAAGTCTAGATGTGCTCGTACCTCTCGAATGCATACAAACGAACAATCTTAGGTCTTTGCTCATGTGTTATCCTCCACTGTGTGGTCTTTAGCATTGCACGTTCATTAAAGGTATCGCTTGCGTAATCCTTCTATTGTCTCCAAAAGTCCTATTGCCATATTCTGTTAGGTATTGTTCTCGATTTCTTTGATTGTGCCGGAAATTGTGTGATGCTTCCGATTTCATGCACTTGCCGCTTAAAATAAAAAATGCTACCGCTTCCGCATTTTAATCACGATTATTCTTGAAAAGACACCTGAAGTTCGAGCATATTGAAATGCTGGCATCATGAAATAGAAATAGAAGCAGAGACTTCTCGGAACGCACGCTTTTAAAAATGAAAAATGGTGGACGATATTCGACTTCGAAAATCTAGTAGTTTTAAGATTAAAACACTACAGGGTGAAACAAAAATAATTTTAGAGGATTCTGCTGAGATGAGGTTATTCTGAAATTAACAAGGGTCCATTCTGTTTACGAAAGCTCGATATAATTAGATCGCTTAAGTTTAAATAATACACGGATCCTCCCAAAACTAATACTTCTCCAGTTAGCATCACAAAGAGCCAGAACCAAACAATGGGAATCCCTAAATCCGAGCTTTCAATCTAAGATCTCTCTCTGACTTGTTGCAACTGCCTGGGGAATCTCTTAACCCAAGCTTTCAATCCATGATCTCCGTCAGACTTGATGCAAAAGCTTCGACAATCGCTAAGTCCGAGCTTTCAATCCATGATCCCAGTTCGACTTGAGTCAAAATATGGAGGAGTCCCTTAAAACCAAGCATTCAATCCATGATCCCAGTACGACTTCAGACAAAAACTACAGGAATCCCTAAGATTATTACAAAAAAATTTTGCTTTTGTTTAAAATTCATGAAAAGTCAGATATCTACTTTGTATTGAGTCAACATCACTTCGCGGATGAAATTTGCATGTTAGATTAACTCCACTGCGGGCACCAGGAACTAGGCCTAGCAAATACAATTAAGCTTTATGGAAGGGTTTGTCTACCATATAGTGGATTCTTAGATCTTTGGAGTGGAGATTACAACCTCCTTATTTCCTCAATAAGAGATGTCAGAAATAAATTTAGGTAACCGTACCCGTTTACGGTTTGAACAGAGCTTTATCATTTTATAGAGGATTCCAGAAAGGTACATGTGAGAATTTGTTAGAAGTACATATTCAAGA